TATTAGCGCAATGTTATTCTTTTTGTTCGCATTACTGACGCTTGTAATTAATTAACAAAAATTAGGGAGAGAAAGTCGCATTAACAGCATGTACCCTGGACTGGCATCATCTTCCGGATACAAAAGCGCGATCATTGATTTTACTTATAGTCATTTCTATAACTCCATTAAAACTTAAAGCAGGAAATTTCATTGATTTATCTCTCAGAACATTCGGCAGTGTAAGTGACATAAATGTTTCTTTAAATTTATCTACTAGTAAAACTAAGTAACATAGAAGTTCTTACGGGAAGGAAGGGCAATTAATAACTGCATATGCATTTATTTTAGATCATTAGGATGTCCGTTACATATTTAAATATTCTTCGATCAGTTGAGTAAATTTTAAGAATTAATCGTAATGTATAAACTAGAATACCTGTCTGGATGTTCCTTGTTAACTCCTAAATCCTTTGACCGATCTGGACTAAATTTTGCACAGTTACTCTTTAGACTTCTGCGGAAAATGTTAGGCTACCATAAAACCTATGAACATTTTATCTCCCTCACAAATAATTTCATTCGCTTGACACTTTGTAATGATCCCGAGCAATGCTAAGTAGTTTAAGCTAATCGTAATTATACAGATAAAATAGAATACAATAAGAATAAAAATTTGTAATTATAAATCAGAAGTTGTGATATAAAAAGAATATTTTTCTTCTTCTAAATATCTCTGTTTCAAATAAAAAATTAAAATACATTTGTAAATGTTTATAATCATATAGGGGAGAACGGGGCAAAGTGGGCATGTAGGGGCAAAGTAAGCAACTGCAATAAATTTTTATGTATTTATTATAAAATTGTAATAATTGCATTTAGAACTTCTATTAGAATGTATAAAATAATAAAAATTAAAATTACTTTGTTTTAAGCACTAGTTTTTTAAATTTATTACAAGTGACCACTTTGCCCACTCTCCCCTACAAACCTTGTCAATTTTCGATTTACTGATTTATTTTTTATTTATCTAATGAACGCGCATATACAGAATAATAAAAATATCCAGATATAAATATATTTCAAGATTTATTTAATAAATGTAAAAGTAAGTAAATAATAATAATAATAATAAGTGAAACATGACCGTATGATATACGATCAATCAACCGCAAGATCCAAGCTGCCGAAATTTAATCTAAGACCGTAAATGGAGTTTTTTTTATAATTAGGTAAGTAAATATTTATTAGATAACTATAAAACATGAAAACTTTTTGTTTTAATAACTTGGAGAATTGTTTGCATTTTTCATGTAATTTATGATTATTCATTCTAACGCACGCTTAAACTTATACAATTCTTAATTTTAATAAAATTATGTCACGAGTAACTGAATCTATACTTTTTGTTATAATATAAAATATTATACATAAGACATATTTGAAATCCTTAAAACATCGGAGGCATATTTTAACATAATTCGAACTATAATCGATTGAATGTCCGTTGGAATCAGAACGCGAAATATACACATTTTTCCTTAATATCATACCGAATAAGTGCGATATAATATGTTTAAAAAATCATGATAAAATAATAAGAAAATAACTGTGAGATATTTTATGCTTCTTTTCTAGGTCGTGAAGACAGATGTTATATATTTTAACATACATACTTCATAAATGGAACCGACAGAACGTTTCTGCTTTATCTCCTTCTTTATCTTGAAGCTACGACTACGAACTCACCATAAAGGTAACAAAGTTTAGTATAACGTACATACAAAGTAGATACACTTAAATATATTTTTGATTTTGATATATTTCTTTGATATAAGAAAGTTTGTAAAATATATATATGTTTCTTAGTGCGGTTTAACTATACATATATTAAAATTTCAAAGCAGTTTAATCATTAATTAAGTTATGCAGTTACTATTTTATCTCTCTATGTAATCCGTATTTTTATTCTATTGCAAGATAAACAAAAGCATCCAGTCGATATTAAATTAATATTAAAATACACACACACACACGCACATAACCAAGCATATAATTTCATATCTATCAATCACGTATATACAAAAACATTGCTGCTTTCAGCTTTAACTTTTGTGTGCGAATGCAATACGCAGATTGAAGTATGGTGTATCAAAACACATATGAATTGTCAGTCAATGTTTTCTGTAACTAGCTAAACTAATTGCATCGGTAACATTGCAATATGCTTGAAAAGACATTAACATGCAAAAAAAATTAGACGTGATAGGCATAATACGACGTGGTTTTAGTCTCAATATATTCTTGATTGAATATATTGTTATGCCTTCAGCGCGGACTCGGCACTCGCGCACTCGTGGAAATAAAGAACTCGGGTTTTATATTAAGAAGGTTCAATAGAACATACAAAAAACGCAGAGAACACTTCTATAACACGAATTAGCTCGTCAAAACCGGTGACGCTCGCGAGACGTCAAACGTCAACGAAAGCTTGGAGAAAACTCAAAACTCAAACTCTTAATCAACTACCGGCCGTTCCGTATCGATCGGCCGGACACAGGGACGACGAAACCGAAGGATGTAACAATATCGTTAAAACTTGTCCTAAAGTATCAAGCAGCTTCAGTATTATATGATACAAATGAGCTGTGCAAGAAGCATTTTTCTATTTTGCTTCGAAATAAGTTTCGCAAAAAAGCATTAGCATGACACGCGATCAAATATAATTTCTACACGAATCAGCACCGTAACTCGAATCTTATTATCCAAAATATCTAAATGCACTGTATAACATTTTAACCTAAGATATATTCACAATGACATAACCAACAAACAATATTGTTAAAAATAGTCACGTAATAAGTACGGTTACTTTTCTACGAAGACTCTAACAAAGTCAAGAACTGCGTTCTGCTTATACTGTTATTATAAGTTTCCTTTACGAAACGTCAACTCTTTCCTAGCTTTCAGGAAAAAAACTTTTTGTTCCTTTCCATGAGGAAAAAAATCATAAATAGATCTGCACGCAATCTCCTCGAAAGTTTCCTCCATACATACATTAGCCATCTGCTTTTGACGTGGCTTGTCATTCCCCTCGAAACGCAGGCGCACGTGAATTATGTATTACGTTTGTACCTAACAAAGGATACTGTACGCTGTTGCGGTCAGTGACGATCAGACACGTATCGCATCAATATCAAGTATTACAGAAGTGTTTCCATACTACATGGTATCATGATACTATAAAGTGGAAAGTCTTCGTAAAAGAAATTGTAAAAATCCACCTTTCAAGATGATTGCTAACAAGTATTACGAATACGACATAGAGAACGCTTTTGCGATGAATCGCTTCTTCTCTCGCATAATAGGCATATGGCCATTCGCGCGCACGAATTCCATTCATCTGGAGCTGATAGAGACAGTTACGTTGGCCTTTGTGTGTATCGCTTTTATCATGTGCGAGACGATCCCGATTGTGCTCTATATGTTCGTCATACTGACTGACGTTCGATTGAGGCTGAAAGTAATGAGTTGCTTGGTATACTCAATAATAGGCCTAATCAAATACAGTTACGTGTTGCTTCACAAGAATCAAGTACGAAACTGTCTAATTCTGATTGATGAAGACTGGCGAGACGTCGTCAATCCAAGCGTTCGCATCTCGATGATCGATAAAGTCAGAATTGGAAAACGTCTGACTGTGACGTGCGCGCTATTTGTATATCTGTTCTGTCTGGTTTTCCGAATGATCATGCCATTAGCAATCGGGAAGGTCGTTACTCCTCAAAATATCACAATCAGAACATTGCCATGCCCGGCCGATCCGATTATATTTGACGTGCAGCGTAGTCCCACTTACGAAATCATGTTATTCATAGAATTTATTGGGGGATTTATAAAGTACACGATTACGGTGGCAACCTTTGGTTTCGTGACCATTTGCGCGATGCACTTTTGCGTGCAGTCGGAAATACTCGTGACGTTAATGAATGATTTCGTGAATGAAAGTCGACCGGAGTACTTGAATAAGAAGTTGGCCACTGTCGTAGAGCATCAAATTAAAATAAGGAAGTAAGTTCTTTCTTGCGTACAATAATGAGGTCCATTCGCTGATTCTTTAA